ATTCTGAGACAGACTTGGTTCCGCTGCAGATTCATCTGATGACAGGTGGTGCTTGGAACGTAAAAGCGCAGAATTACGAACGAACCACGGAACAAAACAACTTTTCACCTCATGGACTTCAAATAAATCAACCGTTTCAGCTTATGATAGTTGCCTACAACGAACACTATGAGGTAAATAATCCTGCAAAAGGCCTAAAATCGAACTAGGTACTTAATCGTGCAAGTTTAAATAATTGATGCACAATAAAAAAAGGAAATTAATTGGTTCCTCCTTAAAAAATAATAAAATACTTTCGGTTTAAATTATCCATGTAAGAGCTGACTGTAAAAGGGTTTTATTAACTTTTTATATAATAGTTAAATAAGGTTAAAATATATTTGATATTCCATTCTATTTTGACAGATCCTTCTTAACAATACAAAGTTATGCGACCAGGAGCACCTTGTGCCCTTAAGTGATGTAACCCATTTGGCCATCGACGGAGAGGCAGATTTCCGCTCGGTTGAATTCAAAGATCTTCTTGGTGAGGACGAAGAAGAGCTGACTGATGCTGGAGACACAGAACATATGGCGAGGGAAGATTCAGCGTACACTGGTGCTTCAGCAAGATCAAATGGAGTGTTGCCGATTCCGGTGGGCAGCAGTAGTCAAGTGGCTGTCAGGGCCGATAAGCGAGCAGAAGCTATGGAGGCTATTGAACCAGGCTTCATAAAAGTGGATGAGAATCGGCGCAGCTTTAATCGTAAACCTTCAGGTAGTGTGAAGCTAAAGAAAGGAAGTGGAATGAATGTTGGACTTGGAACTAAGCTCTCTGAGGAGCATAAAATACCGGAAGTTGCATTGCAGGTAAAGCAGCCGATGGAAGCGAAAGTAGAAATGGATTCTACTTGGCAAAATCCGACTGTACAATTAGATCCACCTATGAGCTCAATGAAAGCATCGCTGGAATTGCCGAATTTGGACGAAACAGAATGGCGTCGAAGCCTAACTCGTGGAAAAGGTGAATTTGTGATTCCAGGAGAAGGAAGAGAGCTAAGTGTAGATGGCCCAAATCTCGGAGTCTCTGTCTTGGGATCTGGAAAACAAGGAGTCAGTGTATCTGGAGATCATGAGAGTAGTGATATGACGCATAAAAGGAAAAAAGAAAGTCTAAGCAGTGGAGGAGGATTCAAGCTTAAACTACCAAAGTTTGGAAAGAAGCTGGGAATAGGTGGATCCGGTAGTAAAGAAGTCAGAGCAGCCGAAAACGTAAATGGTAACTTACCGAAATTTGAAACGGAGATTGGGGTTCCAAAAACAATTATAAAAGGACCAGATTTTGGCGAAAGACATGAAATTTTCAATAAAAATGAAAATGAAATGAGCATAGGAATAAAAAATGATGCGGAATTATTCAAAAAGGTTCCAAAGGCTGGAGTAGATTTATCCATAGATAAAAAAAAAGATGTCCAATGGAACGAAGGAATAAGCGGAAACATCGAAGCGCCTCAATTTAAGACCGAAATAGGAAAGCCAGATTTGGCAACAGGGAAATACAAATTAAGTGGTGAATTTCAAGGACCTGATTTACATGGTGAGCTAGGAACAAAGAACGATCAAGGTAAACTAGGAATTAAGATGCCGAAATTAGGGATAAATAAGCCAGACTTTCAATTAGACTCAAAGAATTCTGTAATATCAGCAGAAATTCCAAAAGGGCATTTAGACAGCAAAATAGAGGCGCCAACATTTAATGCGGAATTTCCCAAGGGTGATGGAAAATTCGAAGCAGGATTAAAGACAACAGAATTGAATATAGAAGAACCCGATATTAACCCAGAAATAAAGTTAAGGGGTGATCATGGAAAGTTTGGAATAAAAATGCCCAAATTCGGAATAAATAAACCAGATATAAATTTTGGAATTAAAAAGCCAGAATTGGCAAGCAATGAAAAAAGTGGGCAAATCGGAGCAAGCATAGATTCACCTTCATTTAATGCAGAGTTTCCAAGTGGTGAAGCGAGGTTTGGCGCAAATGCCGGAATTCAAAAGCCAGATTTGCATCTTGATTCACCCTCTTTTA